AACTGTTGTGTTGACACAGAATTCACGTTCCACAAAATTCATCGTTTTAAATGTACTTTAGACACACTGCTTTCAGATTACGTTCTGCATTCTCTATTATCTAATTATCTATTATCATTAGCTCCCTACTTCCCCCAGCCTCCGAACCCGGACTGGCATCCAGTTGATTCCAGCTCAGAGCAACCCTATAAGACAGAACCAATCTGCTCCTGTGGGTTTCCGAGAGTAAATCTTGTTTGTTTTTTTCCCCACTGTATTGCGGGCTCTTACAGCTCTTATCACAATCCATACATGCATACTACATTGTGTCAAGCACATTTGGGCATTTGTTGCCATCATCATTTTCAAAACCTTTTCTTTCTGCTTGAGCCCTTGGTATCAGATGTTCCTCATTTTTTCCCCTCCCTCACGAACCCTCGATCATTTATAAATTGATATTATTTTTTTGCCAAGAGTAAATCTCTATGAGAGTAGAAAGCGTCATCTCTTTCCCATGACCTTGTAGTTAGCAGCCTGTGGTGTTGACTTTTTAGCCCCTCCCATGTCACTGAAGTTTACTGGTACAAACATGAATGAACTCTTTGAGTTAAAGACGGGTAGTCCCTGACTCACAAAGTGCACTTCCCCGTTTTGTGTGATTTATCATTAGGAAGTGTACCACATCACATACATAGGAGCCCAGGTAGCACGGTGGTCTGCAATCCACAAGGTCAACAGTTCAAAACCACTAGCTGGCTCTGCAGGAGAGACAGGGCTTTCTACTCCCATGAAGAGTTCGAGCAGTGGTTCTCAACCTTCTTAATGCCACGAACCGTTCATACAGTTCCTCATGTGGTGGTGACCCCCAACCATCAAATTATTTTCGTTGCTACTTCATGACTGTAATTTTGCTACTGTTGCGAATTCAGCAACCCCTGTGAAAGGGCCGTTTGACCCCCAAAGGGGTCGTGACCCACAGGTTGTGACTCACAGGGGACATTTCTGCCCTGTGCTGTCGGGTGGCTGTTGCAGCTTGTCATTTGCTGATGCCATTCTCTCACCAACCCTGAAGACGAGTAATGCTTACATTCTATTAAGATACTAACAAAAATCCAATAATAACGAATACTTTTTAATGGGTATTGGATATATGACAGAAACATGTGGGGATGGAACCCTGCCACAGGGGAGGGAGGACTGCTGCGTGTTCCTTAGATTCTCCTTCCAGTGCATGTTGTTAGCACCAGCGCGGCTCTTCACACTCATGAAGCACTGCCTGTATCGGCACCGTTTTTTCATTGGGGGCTCTTACACCTCTCGTTACAAACCATGCATCAATCGTAGCCAGCAACTGTTGCTATGTTGAGCCCATTATTGCAACAGCTGTGTCAATTCATGGCCTTGGGGGTTTCCTTTCCCTGCCCCTGCCCTCCAGAGTCAGGGTCTGAAGACTAGCACATGAAGTCAACCATCTTGTTCTTTGTGTGTGTGTTTATAGAAGTTTTTGTTTTCAACGTTTTATTAGCCCTTAACAGATATTATTACAATCCATAGTTCCATTAGATCAAGTATAATTGTACAGTTGCTGCCATCATCATTTTCAATACGTTTTCTTTTTGAACTATTTGATACCAGCTTCCTTTTATCCCCTCCTTCCCCTACCCTACCACCAACCACCTTCAGTTCTAAGGAGCATTCTGGCTGTACTTCTCTGTTTGTTCTGGCAGTTCTCGGTTCTCTCGGGATTCTCTGCCAGCACAATTTCAGTGCGTCCATTCTTTCTTGCCTTCCTCACTCATTGTCCCGCTTCCACAAGAGGCACCTGGAACTACCACAGGCTTGGTCAGACACACCTTAGTCCTCAAAGGGAGGTCTGTGCTCGTTAACACTTCAAAGCGGTCTTGTGCATCCGGTTTTTCTAATGCCATTTCTAATGTCATTTTACGTTGTGGCTGCTGCTTTCATAAGCATTGATTGTGGGTCACAGTAAAATGAAATCCTTGATAACTCCAGTCTTTTCTGTGTTTATCATGCTGTCAGTTTTGAGAGTTAGTTTAAAAAAATTTTTTTTGTTGCATCGAGTGATAGTTCATTCTGAAGGGTGTAGTCGTTGCTCTTTATCAGTAAGTGCTTCAAGTCCTCTTGGCATTTAGGCAGCAAGATTGTGTGTGCACATCACAGGTGGTTCCCCCGTGCGCCGCTCACTCTGATGCCGTGTCCCTCTTCATGCAGTGCAGCTCCTTGGATCGAAATGAGTGTGACTAAGGATGCAACAATGATGGACACCTTTCCTGATTTCAAATCATGCAGTGTCCCCTGTTCTATCATGGTCTTTGTCCCAGTTCCACATGAACACACTGAGGGGTTCTGCAATTCATGTTCTTCTCAGTGCTGTCTATAGTTCGTTACGCTCCACACGGTTGGGTGTCTGCATGGTCAATGACACTCAGGTCTTCCCTTTGTCTTCTGCTTGCAGCCAAGAGCCATCTGAGGTCAGCAATGACGTTCCTCTTTCCGTGTCCTCTTCTGAATCTGCTTGGATTTGTAACATCTTCTTGTCGATGTGCTGCTGCAACTGGTTTTTACTCATCTTCAATATTTTACATGCATATGCTATTAATGATCTTGTGCCATAATTTCTACCTTCTGTTGGGTCACCTGTCTTTGGAATGGGCTCAGACATTAAATTTTGGAGTCCATTTGCCAGGTCTTCCAAATTTCATGGAATAGATTATCGAGTGCTTCTTGCACAGCATCAACTCACTGTGACAGTTCGATTGGTAGTCATCAGTTCCTGAAGCTTTGTTTTCTTGTTTCTCACTAATGCCTTCTGTGCAATCCACTTCTGTCTACAAGCTGCTTCTTGATCATGCGCTTACCTCTCGAATGGTCGAATGGCTATCGGTTGGTTTGGGTACAGTGATTGTTTATTTCTTCCATCTTCCTCTGATGCTTCCTGCACTAGTGCAACTCGTGGCTTGATTTTTTTTCCTCCCCCTTCTTTCAGCTTGAGATATACCGGAAGTTTTTGTCCCTGTTCATTTTTCTAATTCCAGGTCTTTGCACATTTTATTATTATGCTTTTCTTTGGGTTCTGGTGCTGCCTTTTGAAAGTTTCTGTTCATCTCATTTATTTCACCATTTCTTCCATTTGTTTTCGCTACTCTGTTCAAGAGCAAGTTCAGTCTCTTCTGAAATCCACTTCCGTCTTTTCAATAACTTTTGCTTTTTGTGTGATGTTCTTGATATCATCTCAGAACTCATCTGGTCATTGGTCATTAGTGTTCAGTGCATCAAATCTGTACCTGTAATGATCTTTCAATTCAGGTGGGATAGGCTTAAGGTCATATCTTGACTCTTTTTTTTTTTTAAATTATTTTATTGGGGGCTCATACAACTCTTCACAATCCATACATCCATCTGTGGTGTCAAGCACATTTGTGCATTTGTTGCCCATATCTTGGCTCTTGTAGACTTGTTTACATTGTCTTCAGAGTTAGCCTGTATTTGCATACAAACAGTTGGTGGTCTACACAGCCCCTGGTCTTGTTTTGGCTGAAGATAATGAGCTTTCTCCATCATCTCTTCCTACTTAAGACCAAATCCAAACTCCACTGGCACCAAGTCAACGCTGACTCATAGGGATTCTCTCAGACAGAGTAGGACTGTCTGATAGACAGTTTGGTTTCTGATGCTGGAAATATTTACAGGGGCAGACAGCCTCTGTGTTTCTGGTGGGTTCTAGCTCCTGGCTTTTCAGTTATTAACCCAACAAACAACCCCCTGCACCACCAGGGTCCTTTCTCCTCCGGCAGATGGAGTCAGTTTGGTTCCTCTGGATTTCATCGTGTGAGGGCCACGTGTGGAGTCATTGGTTATGGTGATGCATAAAGGTATTTGCAACGAAGACGCTAGTCTTACCGAATCCTGTCATGTGGTTTCAGCTCTGTGTCTTATCACTGAGGCCAGATTTTCCAACTACTGGTCCTTCCTCTTTGTTTGCTGCTTTCAAATTCCAGTCATGAGTAACTATCAGGGCACCTAGATTGCATGTTGGATCAACTTCAGACTGAAGTAGACGGTAGGATTCTTGTTTCCTTGTCACTGGCTTTAGAGGCTGGTGCTTACATTTGCATAATAGTTGTACTAACGCGTCTCCCTCGTGGTTGTATAGATAGATCCTGTCACAGGCAGCATTGTACTGGAAGTGTTCTATTGGGCAAGAATGCAATGCCATTCCCCTTGACCTTGTCATTCTCAGCATCATAAACCGTATTACGGGCCGGTTCAGAATGACCACTGCCTGTCCATTTGGGCTCACTAATGCCTAGGATATCAATCTTTATGCCTGCATATGGCTTCATTTTTGAAGACTTCTGATTTTTCTAGATTGGAAAAGTATCTGTTAGGAAATGTAGAAGGTTTTGTCTGCCATTATTATCAGTGTTTGTGCTTTTCAGAGTCCAGACAACAGACCTGGAACAAGCCTTGGAAACAAATGACGGGCCAGGGATATTAGATGAAGATGAGGAGGAGTTGCAAAAGGCTCTGGCACTAAGTCGCCATGAAATTGACATGGAAGATGAGGAAGCCGATCTCCGCAGGGCGATTCAGCTCAGCATGCAAGGTACAGGTGTTCCCAGAGGCACTGTCGCCTCAATTGAGCAGCTGGTTCTGCGTCCCAGGAAGTGCACTGGTGAAGTAGTGCAGTCACTGCCCAAGAACTAGCTGTTCCCTTGGATTTCTCATAACACAGAGCACTTCTTACACTGGCTAGCATGGATGTTCTAACAGGATGCAAAATAGTACAACCCACAAAAGCTGGTATTTGTGTAAGGCAGAAAGAAGCCTGTCAGAGAAGGAAAACTTGAAGTACTCCTTTAAGAGGTTTGTGGGAAATGGAATTAAAAGATCATGGAATTTCTTCCTGGCCACTAAGCCATCTTGCCAGGATTCTTGGTGAATCTGAACCCAGCTAGTAGTAAAGAGACAAGACACCCACGTAGACATTAGTCCTCAGTATTTCTGGTGCCTGCCACACAGGAAGCTTCCAAGGAAATCAGTTTCTAGAAGCCACTGCTATCTCTTGCTTCACACACACACACACACACACACACACACACACACACACACATGCATAACATGTATATATCATCTATATTTTTATATATATATATCAGAATCAAAAACCGAAAGATCAAACTCGTCGCCATGGAGTTGATTCTGACTCATAGTGACCCTGTACTGCAGAGTAGAACTGCCCCTGCGAGTTTCTGAGACTTTCACTCTTTACAGGAGTAAAAAGCCCCAGCTTCCTCCCACACAGCAGCGGGTGGTTTTGAACTGCTGCCCTTGTGGTTAGCAGCCCAGTTTGTAACCCACTACCCCACCAGGGCTCCTCTGACACACACAGGGGTTGACCAGGAGTCAGGCACTTCACCCCCACTACAAAGACCAGCGACAACAATCCATTCATTGCACAGGTGGACAGAATACCACGTTGGCACAATCATTAAGTGAGAACATGAAAGCATATTTACAGTGTAGTACCCAAATGTTTGAGGGTGGGAAGGAATCCAGGAAAAGGGTTTCTTATAGGGATGTTGATCCTAAGCTGTTTCCAGGAACAGCTGCGCTCTTGAAAGTCAAGGTTCTGTTCTGTGACGTTCAAGGCAGCCCGTGTGGGTGTGTGGGTGGTGGATGGTTTATATTTCCTCTCACCTGCTGCGTCACAGGTAGTACCAGGGTTGGATACAGTGATCACTCTCTAGATCAGCGGTTCTCAACCTGTGGGTCACAACCCCTTTGGGGGCCAACGACCCGTTCACAGGGGTCACCTGATTCATAACGTAGCAAAACTACAGTTATGAAGCAGCAACAAACATAATTTTATGGTTGGGGGGGGTCACCACAACATGAGGCACTGTATGAAAGGGTTGAGGCATTAGAAAGGTTGAGAACCACTGCTCTAGATGGAGACTTTCAGCCACTTGCCTCGAATCTCAGAATAGTAGCATTTCTTAAAAAGACATTTTACCACCCCCCAAAAAAAGACATTTTACAAACGGGCTCAAGGAAGGATATGTAATTCTTGGTAAATAAAATGATGAAGGACTTTTCTGTTTGTTTTCAGGTAGTTCCAGAAGTACAGCTCAAGATACTCCCCAGACATTGGGTACAAATCTGAGTTCCGAAGAGCTGCGGAAGAGAAGAGAAGCCTACTTTGAAAAGTAAAGCAGTTGGTACAAGATTAAAATTGCTTATTGGATGTGTGCTTTGGTGCTTTTCGTCACTTTGCAAACAAATCGCGGTTGGCTTACACCAACTAGTCGGGTCACCTCTGAGAAGGCTGCTATGGCCTGAACCTGGTGCTGAACAAATGAGTGTTTCTCTTGTTTGTCTGACCCTATAACAAGTATGTTTGTAAGCTCTGCCATCAGCTGTGGTTTTAGGGGACAACTGTGCCCCAATACTGGATAACTGTCAGTGAGCTAGGGTGAAGGCACCTGTTTAGCACTTGGACTATCAAGAGGAAGGTGGAATTAAAGCACAGCAAGAACCAGGCCTGCCCTGCCCTGCCTGCCAGCTTACTTGTTGCTGATCTGAGTTCACTACAGGCTCTACTGCCAGTCTGTAGGAAAAGTCAGCATTTTAGGGGCTCAGTCCCCCAGAGAGGTGGTGGTGAATGCCTCAGCTCAGTGCTACTTCAGGCCTCAGGGATGTAGAGACAAACCTGAATCACCTGCTCCCCACGTCTACCTTCGTATCCTCGGAAAAGACCTGTCCTCATGGCTGAGAGTCACACACATCTTCCACCCCCACCATCACCTCTTTTCTTTTTTGAATCAAGTTCTCCCTTTAAAGCTCACACAAGTTGTAATATACACTCAGGGCCTTGGGTACCAGCTCAGAACGTGAGAAGCCAGTGGCTGGACCTGCCCTGTTGCCCACTGTGTTTCGACTGAAAGCTGTACCTCCACACGAAGTGAGAAGCAGCTCACAGCCTACCAGGCACCTAGTGTCGCAGTCCCTTAAAAGACCAGTGCATTTTATAGCGGATGGCAGAGTGAAATGAGATGATGTTTACCTGTTTTCTATTTTGTTGTTTTTTTCAAGTCAGTGAGATAGGGTGAAGTGTATGAGGGAAAGTTCTTCTCAACGGACATCCCCATAATATGAGCTATTTCTAGTCTTTATTCAGTGATAGATTAATGGGGTGCATTTTATGTAAGATTTAAAACAGTGTTTGTTAGTACTCTTCACTTCCTTGAAATTTTTTAAATGAACTTTTTTGGTGTGTTAAACTCATATTTCTATTAAAGTAGAGAAGTTGGCAGAATGAACCGCTATTTTTCTCCTGCAGAGGGTCAGCACACAGCCAGTTTTGCTTTTTTTCAGCAGCCCTGTCTGTCTTCTCTCCCTTAGAATCCTAGCCCCACCCGAGTTGGCATCAACTTGACTGCAGTGAGTTTGGTTTTGTTAGTGTTGAAAATAAAAGTAATCAGGGAGCAAAGCAAAGCCACAAAACCCCTGAGGAGCCCCCAAAATAGACTTAAGGCTAGGAGGGGCAGTTCCCGGAACCCCCTAGGACCTGTGGGGAGATAGTCATAAAGGTCAGTGGACCAGGAATTATGCTTTTTGGTTTTTTCATTTTTTTGCTAGTTCTCTTTTTATTCACTCTTTTGCTTTGTCTCTATCATTGTTGTTTTGCCTACCAATATGAGATAAGCATGAGAGGCAAGCTGGAGGAGAAAGCAATGGGCTGACAGTTTGGAGGGGCCTGGGGGCAGGAGGAGGGGGTGGGGGAAAGGAGCAGTGGGCAAACAACATCACAGACAAAAGATCAACTAGGGAATTAAAAGCAACAACAAGGAGGACATAGAGATCCTGGTGGTGTTGGAGCAACAGCAATCTAGATAAGAGGAATTACTAAGATGCAGAAGGGGGATCATGATGGTGGGGCAGGAGGAAGGTGAAAGGAAACAAAAGCGCTAGGAAGCAAAGCTATGGATAGAGGTATAAACATAAGTGTACGCTTATGTGACTATATTAATAAAAATAACATTGCCTATGTACATATATTTATATGGCATTACATTGAGGTAGTGGACAGACTTTGGGCCTCTGTTCAAGTCCTCCCTGAACGCAAGAACTTTCTGTTCTAACAACCTGGCATTCTGTGATGCTCACCCTCCCGACACAATTGCTGAAGACAAGCATTAGCAAATGTTGTGAAGAAAGCTGATGGTGCCCGGCTATCGAGAGAGCTGTCAGTGGCCTCCCACTAGTTTCTGGGTGTGCGTGTATTCATTCACCAAGCCAGCCCGGCTGTCTCATGGAGCTAGCTCTGCAGCCCCATGAACTGGGTGCAAAGCCCCAGCGAAGTGGGAAAATGCTCACTACTCTTTATTAAAAATTAGATATTAACTTTGACTGCAAAATCACTTTTCCCATGACACCAAAAGTATCCTCCTTTTTTTAAGGCAGCCTACCTTTAAGGCTGAGAACCTGCCTACAGCCATTCAGCCAACAGGGTCATGTGTAAACACGTTTTGTTTGGAATAAACTCATTCATGCTTGAACTGGAATCCGAGAAGCAATACTTTTCGAAACATTCACACGTGTTTTATAATCACAAAGGGATTCTCTTCCTCACTCGCACAGCAGGTCACCTTTTCATTTTTAAACGTGGAGTCTTATTTCCCATTACAAGTAGTAATTGAGGAAGACG